AAATTACTGTATTTAGATACACGTACTCAAGCTGAAGATGCATTAAATTTGTGTGAAATGCATTCAATATAGAAATAGTGCTGCTGTAATTCAAAGCGTCTGATACTCATTCTTGAACAACACGAAAGTGCCAGAACAAGTTACAGTGTGCAGATGGCTTGGGCGTGTAAACCCACTTAGACTTAATCAAGGAAGTGTAAAGGTGTAAGTTTAATATCCTAATTAAAAGAAGTAACCAAATACTACTGAAATCAGTATCAAAGAATAAATCTTAGACAAACTAAAAAATATATCATAGCTTATATAAATAACTGAACAATTTTCCTGATGTTTCAAAATTAAATTCCTCCATAAACCAAAAAAAGGAAAAGTGGATAAAATTAATTGAAGTAGCTGCGGAAAATTCTTTATATCAGGAGGGAGATGCTGATGACTGCAAAAAATAAGAAAGCGATCTAACTGCTGAAATTTGCCACTCTTCAAAAAGTGATCTTTTTCACAAGAAAAAATCGTACTTGTTCTCACGTGAAACCTAGATAACCTTGAGATCCGTAGAAAATATTAAATTCAGTACACTTTTTATTCAAAAAATAAGGAGAGACAGTTACAAAAACTATTTCGGAATTCGATAATACTAACCTTCGGTCCAGCAAGACTCTGTTGTACTTGCGCATTTATTCTATCGCCCAATCCTTGCAATGGGGCCAAACCAGCTTGAACCTGAGATGATATCCTGGATCCAAGATTTTCCAAGAAATCTTAAACACCATAAATAATTAACAGTCAGCATTCATTAGAACAAGAGTGGAAATAAAATTCGCTGTGTATTAATTATATGTATAGTGTGTATTAGAATACCCAAAATTAGCGATATTGTGCTGTATTTTTTTAACGTTAAAAAGTTTGAAACTTAGGTGATGAACTTTTTCGAATCCTGTGTTGTTCATTTGACGTGAAAATTTGCCTATTAAAAAGTAAATATCGCAACACACTGTAATATTTTCATTTTGTCTATTTACGAAATAAATTATGATCTACTCAATTTGAGTTATAATTGAAATTAGTTTATTAAAAAACTGAAAAATTGCCTCCGTTTTTCTAAAAAAAAGACATACATTGAATTTAACTAATTTGCATTATTGTTGGTGATTGCATTTTTAAGGTACGTCAAACGAAAAAGCTCTGAGCTTGAGCCAAATTCATATTTTTTGAGAAGGCGCGTAGTTAATTTAAAGCAAGGAATATCTGATGATTGCATTTTAGATTTTTTATTTTAAAAATCAATTAAACTTATTTATTTTTAATTAATTTTTTTTCTATATGGCTACTTAAAGGGATTACTGTGTAAATCTTAGCCGCAAACGGTTATATGTAAGCAAAAAATTAATAAATTTTTAATGGTATGAAACAAATTCTTTTCGGCAATAGTTCGCTTCTCATTGATTTCTACTTACCATAATTTTGCCCATAAACTAATTCCACCTAAAAAAATATAAATAATTTAAACACGTTTTACTAAGGAAACATGTTTAATTTTGTCAATATTGCATAATTTTCAAGAGGTTTAAAAACATGCATCACGTGGCTTACCAACGAAAGTACACTGGCTAAGTTAATGATCATGATAACCTTGCTGTTGCTAAAAGTTTGTAACACTGAGGTTTAATTATTTATAGCCAATAGCAAAGAATAGACTTGATTGCAACGAGAAATGGTTAAAACCCAGTAAACAAGGTTTATTCCGTTGGGTATAAGCGATATACGGTTGATTAAGAGGATATGCATGCCATAAATATATAGTATATTTAAGCGTTTGTAATAAATTTTAGTACCCACTTTAGGTGTTAATTGAAAAGTATAAAAAATTAATAAAAAGTTTTATGTTTAAACATAGAACTTGGAAATAAACTATTACCATGACCCATGTTTTGCCTTATATCTGAATCATGTTTTCGTATTTTATTAGTATTTCAAAAGCCTCTTGTAAGAACCAGTAGGTTAGTTAAACAATCCAATACAAATATACTAGACTTTTAGGTAGCAGTAAAAGGAACGTACAAAGTTTATTGCATGCTTGTTTCTAGAAAATCTGTACCTAGATTTTCAAAATAATGTAGGTTTTCTTACTTTTCTGGACTAGATTTTATATTATTTAAATCTTATATAATCTCCATTTTGCTGGATAACTAATATATAATAATAATATAATAACAAAAGTCTGAACAAATGTTATAAAGTTTTGAAAAACATGCTCTATATGGGGCAGAATTCTGCCCCATAACCCCGACCCACGACATTTGTACCTTCCATACTAAGGCAAGTAACAACTTTCTGCAGCTTCGAAAATATCGGTTTCAAATTGTTTTACACAACTGCGCTTTTTCCTTTAAAAAATCGCGCCTTTGAAAATTTCGTATCATTCAAACTAAAAGAAGTAGCAACTTGAAATTTGCACCATATTTAGACGAAAGCTGACTCTAATGATGAGGAAGGTTTCAGGAAAATCACCCGGAATCCTGATTTTTGACAGCTTTGTAAAAATCAGGATCAAAATGTAAGTTTTTTCAACTGCGCCCAATCTGTTAAAAATATTCGTATCTTCCATACTAAGGCAAGTAACAACTTGAAATTTACACCATGAGTAGAGGATGTGTAATTCTAAAATTCCTGAAAGTTTTGAGAAATCGCAATGAATTATGATTTTTTGCAGCTTTGTAAATATGGGTCTCAAATTGTTTTACAACTGCGCTTTTCCCTTTAAAAAATCGCACCTTTCAAAATTTCGTATCAATCAAATTAAAACCAGTAGCAACTTGAAATGTGCACCATACTTAGCCGAAAGCTGACTCGAATGATGAGGAAGGTTTCAGGAAAATCACCCAGAATCCTGATTTTTGATTGCTTTGTAAACATCAGAATCAAAATGTAAGTTTTTTCAACTGTGCCCAATCTGTTAAAAATTCGTATCTTCCATACTAAGGCAAGTAACAAATTAATTGACCAAAATGCTGTTCATTTCCTCAAAGTTATTATTTTTTAAATAAAAAAAGAAAATTTAATAATTTAATTGTTAAACATGACAAAAAGTTTAACCTATTATGAAAGTTTCGACTTATTCCTTATTTTCTGATAAGCGTTAAAGTCTTCGTCGAACGAGAAGAACTGCATTGAATTGTTCTATCCTTTTAAGATTAATTAATTTCTAAAACGTAGTAAACAAGTGGTAAAATTCGCAATACGCCGACTAATTTACCGCAAATATCAAATATAAACATCGAGTTCAAATGTCAAGTATAAATAACACGGATGTCTTTGTACTTATCCAATTAGTACCTACATTATTATAATTAGTAGGTACCGCCTATATTAATATTTTAATAATTGCTTGTATGGCTTGCTACAGACAGAAGCAGCAGGATAATTCTAGAGTATAATAGAATTAAAATGGACTGCGTGAATGCGTATGTCTAGAATGAATAAAGTTTGTTAAACAATTTTTCAAAGATTTCAACAATAAAAGTAGTTGGTAAATAATTAATGGCCTTCATTCGTGTGAATGTAGTGTAATCGAACCTCGTACGTAAGTAACATCGTTGTAAACCAACGTTATGATCGGTTTGTCTTGGGCTCTCTATCTCTTAAGGAGTCCACTTGGAATGAAGGCGAATGCATATTACAAGCGGACTTTTCATTGGTACAGTGGCAGACGAATAAATCCATCCACACATTATCAAAATTGAAGATTTAAGTATATGAAACAAACTCGATCCTCGCAAGAAAATGTCCGAAGATATATACTTTATATGGTAATGAACTGATCGCAGTTCTCAGTTAGTATCTGCATTATCTTGCTTCATGTTATGGACTTATTTCTTACCCCAATTTACAATTATTGAGGTTTCAATAACCGAGTTGTACCTTGGAAGAATTTGTCGCAAGCTCAAATAAAAAATACATACCCATACTTAGCTTGATTTTTGAGAATATCGCTCTGCATACGAAACAATGATAATCATAGTGATGTAAGTGAAATGAGCGTATTTCAAAAAGTATCTGAAAAGAAATTAAAAACCAAAAATGCTCAAGATACAACACTCTCCGCTACTACTTTTAGTTTGGAAAATTAATGAAATACTGAAACGAAAAAATGGGGACATTTTTATTCGATGGCTACCAACACCAACTTTCTAACTATCTCAGCAAAAAGTTAACGTTTGTGGATCTTAAAGAGCTCTATTTTAAAACTAGACGATGTAAAACTCTCGTTAGAACAAACACTAGGCAGAGTATATGGTAACCATAGCAAAAAGGTACGGTTTATTTTGGTCCTATAAGACGGATTTTGACATAAATCGTCAAAAACGAGTTCTCCAATATTAAACGAAAGTCCGCAGTAAAAATATGAAAATACCAAAACCTCAAATGCACGGACTCGCACAAAGTCGGATCACGAAATGGTTAATTAGTTCACTTATCAATGCCGCCCTTGGAGGACTTGCCTTTCAAATCTTCTACATTGATCACAAAAAGAAAATTTATAACGATTTTTACGCGTAAGTACCCATGATGATACCTAGGATGCAATAAGCGAACACTGCGCTGCATAAATCAAATACTTAATTAAAAGTAGGTATATGCTGTTATGACTCACAAACAGTATCTGCGAAATCGAATAAATGCAGTATCTGGATATTTTGGCATACATGTAAAATTTCCGAAAGCCGCCAATTTTTAATCCAAAAATTAAATCCTATATTGCAAAAATATCGTTAATTCCGTACTTTTTGAGCGACAATTGTTCCAACTCCCAACTTTCAATAGTTGAAATGAAAGGTATTTTCATTCCCTAATCAAAATTACTATTGTTATACACTTTATTCCAAACAGTAATACCTAGTCAAAAGTACATTCATATAATTGATAAAATTATTTCTACGTCAAAATAAAAATTATTATAGATTTGTTAACTAGATATTATTTACAAATTATTATACAAGGTGATCCCAAATTGGCGTCATTCCTTTAAGGAATTACTAGGGCTTACACGAAAGTACGAAAAAAAATTAAAACTTATTTTTATGTTTTTAATTTACACGTCGTGATTAATAAGCGCCTTTTCACACGGACCACCAACAAGTAATAATACGTAGTAATAAAAGATATCCTTTGTCTCTGCTCTGCAGCGCTTCTCAGTGGCGCTGCTGAGAAGCGCACGTTCCCCGACCAGGACAACCAACCCTAACAATTATTCCTTCGCAGAATTTTAAGTTTTGTTTTTGTGATACAAATTTTTTCTTTTTTTGTCACAGTCGCCGTCGTCGCCGTATCACTATTATAAAAAGCAAATGTTGTTAACTATTCAAGCTCATTTTAAAACTGACAATATGATCGAAGCTTACATTAGCTTGCGATTAGGTTGTAGACCCACTGAAGACTGTGGACTGAAGTGGCTCGTGTGAACCTAGGAACCAAGGTACCTGCAGAACGCGCTTCTCAGCAGCGCTGTAGAGGGGTCTATGTGAAAAGGCGCTAAATGGATACATAGAAATGCGAAAGTCATATGCTTAAGTTTTTCATCAACAGACTAAACATTTTAGGAACTACGACATTGACAAAGAATTCGAGACTATGAGGGCGAAAGGATTGTTTGATTCCTGCTAACTGAAAGCCTGGACTATTATTAGCTAGATTATAAATAATATGTTCATTCAATGTTCACATAAAGGATAAAAACAGACAACTTGTGTTTTGATAAAAATATATTTTAATATTTAACGTATCTGTATAAAATATACTGTAAATAAAAACATACCTAATGTATTAATATAAAGTTTAAAAAGTTTACAGTTTACATACAGTAAGTATGTAACATTAAAATGTCTAAATAGGTGCAAGTATTACAATTAATATCGGCAAAGGAATTTGTCCATTTTTTTTTACTTTGCATGAAACGCTTAATAATCAACCCCAATTTACTATCTATTAGTTTGCTCCGCTAATTGCAATGTGTTTTTAAAGTTAATTGAAATATCCCCAAATAATAATAATATATTTTTCCGTTTGAACAAATTCGATTCAATTAAATTAATCAAATAAATTCGAACTCAACCGTTTATATCAATCAATCAATATCAATTAGATAAGGACTATCAAGGGCTCCGTATCCGGCGGCGACTCCTCCTTCGTCCGCCGTAGAGACTTTAGTACGTAGCATATGACCTACTTGGCGATTCACCATTATCTTTTGCGAATCTCTAAAATCGAAATAATTTAAATCGTCCACAAAACTAATGGAAAACAATTAAAAATTACCCGATGACAACACCGAAAATACCAAGTTCCGAAATCATTTCAGCTAGTTGAGGAGGATTTTGGCCGCCTGGTCTGATCATGTATCCCGTAGAAATTGGCGGATTTATTCTGAAAGCGTTACCGATCAAATCACTCTCAAAAATAATTAAGACATAAAAAATAATATTAAAAACAGACTAAAAAACTTAAAAACAAAAATAAACTTTGAAAAAGGTATGTCTGGAGATGTTAAACAGCAATATTCTTGTTATAAAAACTATTAAAATAATGTGTAAAAAATGTTTAGAACCTACATTATTTAAGAAGGCAGGGGTAATATATTTCATATTTAAGAATTATCAAATAATGCCAAGTACTTTCTTTTGAGAGTTAAATCTCGATTAATAGCGTAGAAATACAAACTGTATTGAAACTTGTGTTATGTTATGAGTACAATGTATGTAGGCGAGTCAAGTGTCGCTTCTTTACTTTTAAAGTGGTACTAGGGGGTTACTTACTAAGAGTATGCGAAAAATATTTGAAATTTGGAATTATATTGGAAGACATTATCGCATACTGTTTTCTAAAAAAATAAGCGAGCAAATTGAGGAATCGTCCCTCAGTGAAGCGTCTTTCTCTTCCATGAAAAGAAAACAGGTACATGCATAAACTGTTTGTGTTTTTAAGTCTAGAAGAGTCAAGCACTAGAAGTAGTGATAATTCCAGGAACGTTTTACCAGTACAAACGCGCACTTATGTCACTGATTCCTAAATAATTTACCATTATCATAGCAGTTTGCTTTTAATTCGAATATTAACCAGATATCATTAATTTTATGCTGATCAAAATATTTATCCACATCCGCAATAACGTCTTGTTTTTTGTAACAAAAATGTAGGGTTTTTATGATTTTCGTTGGATTTTACTGTTTTCTGCTATTTCGTTATAACTCCCAACGCCGAACGAGACCCAAATTAAAGAGACGAGCTTATAAAAGGACATAGGCAAAAGTTAAATGATTTTCGGTTAAAACTAAACAATCGAAATAAATCGTTGCAACAGAAAACAGCAATTGTCGAAATAAAGCACATAAAGGATCCAGGTAAATGTTTGTTCACAAAGTCGGCTATCAACCTATACCATTTAAACGTTTTGTGCACATTTTCAGTGCACAATTACGTTCATCTATTTACCCATATTCATATTGAAGCCGATATTTAGCTAATAATACTTCATTTTTGGCAAATATCTGTTTTTAGTGAAAATTATTTCTTCCGGACTTCCCAACTATTCCCAGGTATATCCAAAAGAATACATTTCTTTTGGATGCACAGAAACACTTTCCATTCAAAGGGACATTGACTCTAATAAACATTTTCCAAAACTCTCAACATGAGTAAAATATGTAATCTGGTTACCTCTCCATTAAAATCCACGCTGTTCGCTCTTTGGTATCTTTCATCTGCATTATGGCGTCTCGTATCTCGGAGCCGTAAATATTATTGCCTCCTCCTTCCCTCTGGGGTTTTAAAACAAACCTAATTTTAAAACATTTTTTTCCCAAAACGGAGATAATAAATGTTATTACTATTTACCGTTCCGGGTCATCCAAAGCCATTTGAATGGCTTGGTCTCCAGCTTCGTCAAAATCTAAACCAAACAATCCAGTAAATATGTCTCTGACTGCAGCAATTTTATTAGGATCGGATAGGAACGGTTCTAATGCGCCAGGTTTGGCTAATGCTTGCTGCACCTTTTTAGTACCAGCGAGATGATATTGTATGGACGGACATTTTATTGCCTGTGATCTGTAAAATAATGTAGCTTAATTGCTTCGTAATGATATTTCTCGATGGACTGCAAGACTGCAACATGATTAACATAAAAAGCCAAATGGTAACAAATATTACAGGATATATTGTATATAAAATATATCCTCTATAAGTACCTTTCTATTAGCAATCTTGAGCCCCATTCTTTTTTGGTGGGAATTTGTTCCGGAGTATAAGCCGATCGGTAGTAAACGACACTTACAACCGTATTCCCTCTGAAAAATGTTGCATGCAACACAAGATGTTCATTATTTTCTATCATAAAAATGCACTCAAATCCGCTTACATCATCAGTTCATTATTTTCACTCAGACTGCCTTCCATGTGTACATCCGTTAAAGTTTTTCTCATCAACTTCACTCTTGGGTTTAAACGCTTAAGTTCAAATTCGTGAAATCTTTGATCGCAAATATTGTAAGTGACATCCTCCACAATAACCAATATAGCTGCTTTAGAATCCCCATATATTTTCCACGCTTCCAAAAGACCCATGGTCATCCCAGTTAAAGCATTGTTTTCCGGTAACTAAAATGTTTAACTGACTGAGTCAGGAAAAATCACTACGAGTCGAATGAAAACCAAGATGAGCTTCAAAAGTTATAAAGTTCAGAGGACACCAGACAGAAATGCAAGTGAGAACCTGGAAAACGGGGTCGACAATTAAATAAGTTCCAGTTTCTTGACCGAGATCGAATAATTGAAAGATGATGGATTTTCTTAGGAATTCGGTCTGGGCAGTGGTGAAGAAGAAAAAGAAAAACTTTTTTAGCTACCTAGCTTTCGGCAATTTACTGTCGCCTTCCTCAGGGTGCTAACTGTTTAACATAAGAAGGCTGGAAACCCTCCAAAATATTCTATCATTGTTACAGCCAGATTAAATACTTTATCTTCCTCGCTTTCATTGCATTACGAGGGCGAAACCAATCAAAACAATTGTTCAATGGTTGTGACATTATGTGGTTCATAACTTGTCATGGATTAAAACCATTTATTCACGAACATGTTTTCTGCAGAGAGACCGGAAGAGACCACACTAAATGCAAATTAATGATGAGCTGGAGGCCCTGTACTTTGAATTCAAATATCGATTCGATTCCATTTTTTTTTGACTCAGTCGAGTACAACTCACATTAAATAATTATCGGCAATTTCAAAAGTCGCTCTAACTTTTGGACTTAGTTGAATTTTTGTTTATACAGTGCATCTATGTACGCACCATATGGGAAACTTTTTTATTGATATTTTAGAAAAAAAAGTGATTTTTCATAAAAAGTTCTGCTTGGTACAAAACCTAAAATGCAACCATTATATATAATTTTTTTTGGTGGTATACTAGGTTCTATATAAAAAAATGTGAATGTTGCTCAGGAATAAAGTACCGTTATATTTGACAGTATCATAATTTGTTATTAAGAAAAATTGATCACAGCTAAAAACTACGTTCAAATATGCAATTACATATATCTAATTATGTCGAATATTTCCCTCGTATGATAATCTGTCCGTTTGAAGTGTGCAATTATCGAAAAATTACAGCGGTAATTGCACAGTGTGCAATTATCACTCAACGATAATTGCATTGTTTACGAAAAATATTTGACAGGTGTCATGTCATTCATGATGAATTAGACATCAAATGTCTTCCTGACATACCTAAGATATTCAAATTATATTTAATAAACATAAGTAATAAAATTAAAAGTGTAATAAAATATAATAAAAATAAAATGAAACCACATTTACTTTGTTTACTCAGGAAATATTCATCAAAATTACACTCGTGCATCAAAATGAACAGATAATTTTGCATTCGAGCTTGTTGTCTTGTAAAAACTGCATTCGTTTATTTTCCCATTGGAACGAAATAGCCCTCCTCCTTCGGAGTCGGGCTTTTTCGCAACAAGATGAAAATAAACTCATGCAGTTTTTAGACAACAAGCTTTCATGCTAAATTATCGGTAATTTTGAAGCACTTGTGCAGTTACCCCGGATATTTTTTTTTCTTTTCTGACAATAACAATGCAAATATATTTACCTAAAATCTAGTATTTGAACAGACGTAAATATTATCAAATGTTTAACGAATAAAGAGAGAACTGATTAAAGTTTTCGATATTTGCAAAAATAAATTTGCTTTACTCTTGGTCAAAACTAATTTTTTCTCAAAATGTCAAAAATAAAGATTCTTTATTCTTGAATAAAATTCCAATTTTTTGATATATACTCGTATACGGCTGAGAAAGATATCAGATGGTTGTATTTTAAGTTTTGGACCACACAACTTTTTATGAAGAATGGCACCTGAAATCGACATTTCATTTTCCGCATAACTTTTTTGACATGCCAAATATCGCAAAAGGAAATATTCTATTTAAAAAATTGCAAAATACTAGACAAAAAAGTCCTCTTAACACGACTTTAAAAACCTCTTCGTTTAGGAGCAAATCGATATCAAAGTTTTTAGCACTCAAACCAGTATCCTTGGATTTAATTGCAATCGCAGAAAATCAAGTCGTCTGATTTTAAAATGTGTCAAATTTGACAATTCATACATAGTAATTATTGTATTACTGTTCAATTTTAACTAAATGTTTGTGATGCATTTGAAGCATTTGAATATTCACCATCCGTTTTCATTTAGTGGTTTTAGAGCACAAAAATGTAGTCTAAATTGAACAGTAATACAATAATTACTACAAATTGTCAAATTTGGCAAATTTTAAAAGCAGACGACTTGATTTGCTGCGATTGCAATTAAATCCAAGGATACTGGTTTGACTGATAAAAACTTTGATCCGACATCAAACATGCCTGATGCTCTGACTGAACTGCACGACATCTGCTCCTAAACGAAGAGGTGTTTCGAGTCGTGTGAAGAGCACATTTTGCATCTAGTATTTTCTAATCTTTAAAATCGCACATTACTTTTTGCGATGTTTGGCGTGCCAAAAAAGATATGCGAAAAATAAAATTTTGATTTCAGCTATAGTGGAGAAACAATTTTTTATGAGAAAGTTATAGATCACTAAAGCCCATGTCCCATGCATCCGATATACGATGGTACGAAAGTGTTTCGTAAAATAGAAACACTTTCTTACCATAGTATCATCGTACAAACGGATGCATGGGTCACGGGCGTAAACTTAAATTGTGCACCGATTTTCAATTTGATCGCGAAAAAATGTCCAGAATAAGTCAAAAAAAGGAGAAAAAAAAAGTTTGGCGAGTTGTAAAAAGATATTATAAGAAAACTTTACGAATTCTCAAGCGGGATTATCAATTTTAACAGTTTGCTGGAGAATATCAACATTTGCTAGACCTCGACCATTCACAGTACCATATACACATATTGTCTAAACTTACTTACATTTTGCAGTTTGTCAAAGTGTTCCAGCTCTTCCAACACAAACCTAAAATATAAGCGAATAAGTATCGTGCATTTGAATGAAGGTTCGGTGAATGTGACAGGAACATTAACAGTTTAACTAACTATGCTATGTGAGGTTCATGCTGTTATTCTTATGTATAAAATGCATTTCAATAGCAAAAACAAATTCAAAAGCAAAACACTTATAATCTCAAATACTACCAAAAAGTATTTATAGACTCATACATATTTAGTTAAAAGTTGTAAAAATCCATTAATATTCGGTAAAAACCGTGACTTAAAACGCAACGCTTGCTTTGATTCCAGAGTCATGAACCTGCTTTTACTTTATATGATATACTGTATATTTATTTATTTAAGGTCTCCTCGACAGCTGTAAGCCACTTACAGAGTGGCTCACTCTACAACTACATATTGTAAGCAATTAATAAAAATACAAGTCAATTCAAAAATAAAAAATTGAAGGTAAACTGTTATAGGCAGCCAAAAGACGGATGCATGTTGGATATTACGGTTATGTATTTTTTAATGCGTATTATCAATACTTAATAACATTAACTTAATTAACAAGTAATTTTTTTTCCTCATTTTACTAGGTTTTCGGTTTGTTTCAGCTTTACGATTCTTCAGAAGGCACTTTCACTTTAGAAGGCATTTTAATCGCGAATCAATAACAAAATATGTTTCTTTGTAATTTTGCAGCTGCCAGCGTTATTCAAGATTTCATTACCAGAACTCTGCTCCAAAAGCTAGCTATTAAATCCATATTCAAAGAGCTTCATTCTGACATTCTTCACAATGAAAATGATGATAAATGATAATAAAAATCACAAAATGGGTTTAAAATTTTCCAAAACACAAAGGAGTGTTGCGTGTCACGAGTTTTTACGGCATATTATTATCTTCGTTTGCTTTTGCTTTTAAAAATACGTAAAGATTACCTATTGTATAACGAAATTCCATTACCAACTCCTGCCATGCTAACAGAAATAGTATTATATTCCACTTGTTTAATTTTATTTGTATCGCTGTGTAGCATATAATCGGAACGAACTAGACCCAGACTTAACTTCTAAAAAGAATAAATGTTCAAAATGTACTAACAAAAAATTGTAAAATAATTTATTATTTCGGATACACATAGTAGGTACAATAATTTTATGGCACATTAGCACCCAACCTTCATTTGCAAGAAAAACTCAAGAACTTGCTTGCAGAAATCAACCTACTTAACAAAAAAACAACAGTTAAAAGTACAAATAGTACCTAAATTGTTAATATTAACCTGTTCTTATAAATATTATACATACACAAACCATTCTAATTTAATAGAACCGCCTTTGTTGATAAAACATCAAAATTTTAAACTTGCCAATCGTCGCGAGTGTAAACCAGGTTACCCACTTAAATTAAATGTTAAAAAACAAAAATTCACAAGAGGTGAGATGTTCGAAAACGGTTTAATTTTGCATTACCTATTGATAGCTAATGACGCTGGGCCAAGCCAACCAAAACCAGCAGCAATCGTATTAAACTCCACCTGTTTCCAACTGTGCATAGAATCCAACATTAAGTCGTTGCGAACTAATGCTAAACTTAGAGGCTAAATTAAGAAAAATATTTCAATAATTAGAAGGATTAGAACGAATTGAAAAGGAGATTGAAAATTAGAAAGATTCCAGTATAATTAGAGCAGAGTATTGCATTTAATATGTTAGCAATATTGGAATGATAAGCAGAAAGTGTGTTTGTTATAACATGAGTCAATGAGTTTAATGGTGTAACCAGAGGGATGGTGTAACTGGAACTTTGGAAACGCCATTGCATTCCAAACAGGCATGTCAAAACAGGCAAAAATGGAAATGGAAACAGCACGGTGAACGTGCTCCGGTGAAGATTAAGACTTGATTGTCTTGTTTCTGCCAGGAAAGTTATGACAATTTTTTTTTCTATCACAAGGTGCTTTCTGCTGTGGAATACTATTTCGAACTTCTGGATGATAAAATCAAAGACGCAATCAGTAAAAATGTGATTTTTGCTCACAACGCCAGGACTCATCCAGCAAACACTACGAGGGAGAATTATACAAATTTGACTGGAAAAAGTTGAAACCTCCTCCCGACAGTTCAGACTCGCCACCTTGTAACTTTCATCTTTTTGAACCCTTGAAGGAAGAGCATGATCAAGCAGCAGAGGAGTTTGTGATCCCAGGGCTGCATAAACATCTGAAGAGTTCTACTATGACAAAGTTAAAACGCTTTCAATCCGCTGCAGCAAATGCTCGGCCTATAGATTATGTACAAAAATGCTAACTTTACCATCCTCGTGTTAAATAAAAGAAATCGAAGTATTTGCCTTGTTTGTTAGTACGCACTGTATTATGAAGAGAATCGTTAGAGACTCGGTTATTGTATTAAAATACATGTTTTCGTATATTAGAAAGGAAGTACTAAAAGTCCGAAAGAATGTAGGCATGAATAAACAAATAAAAACAATAAATAAACAAATTTCGAAATACCGTAGTTTTGAAGTTTGACAATACCTGAGTAACTCCTTCGTTTAGTACCGTTTCCCATATCTTGTATAAGCTGCCGGTAAATTCATCAACCTGAATTGTGTCTTTCAAAGTTTCCTTTAAAAATTCCTGATTGTGGGCCACTCTATGCATCAGTTCATTCAGTGTGGTCTAAATACATGTTTTTAAAGTAATGGATTAAGATGTAAAAACACCATATTACAACGTACTTGTATTTCAACAGCTCTCTCGAATTCTTTTCTGGGAAAGGTTGAGGGCAGCAGCAGATATGGTGCAAAATTAATGGAATCTTCACTGAATGCCGTTTTAGATCTAATTCCTATTCCATGCATAACAACCCAGTCTTTGGTCTTTGAAACAAGTTCTTTGAGTTCCTTTTCATCAAGTGGAATTGGGATGCACGAAGGGAGTCTTTTCACAGACATGATTTCAAGATATTTACCTACTAACTTAATGTGTAAAAGTGTGTAATTTAAATTCACGAAATTGTAATGCACTAATAACACTGAATATGCATGAACCCTGGCAAAGATCTAATCAGTTTGCTATTACTGTTCAGAAGTGCATACATATAAATGGGATGTGAAAATATTTCACCATTCAGCCCAGTGTAAATACAGATTAATTAACAAAGTAATAACTGACAAGCTTCAACCAAGTTAAAAAATGCAATTCACGAGAATAAATACCGTTATCAATTGATCACAACGCTGCTGAAATGGTAAGTTTCTGAGCAAAAACACTGCCAATTTGCCTAAAATCACAAGAACTTATCTTAAATCTTTGGTTAGAAATATATGTCGACAATGTTGTTGTCAGAGTCACAGATTATACATCTTAGGGAAGCGAAAGCTCGAGACTAACAGTTGCTAAGCCGCCATACTTAAATTGATTTATTGTAGCCAATGCAAGTATGAGCAAGTGCGACGGACATTGAGAGCCAATGAAATACCCCATGTTCTAAGCCCAGCTAGGAAAAAACTGTTAAATTAATAATCTTATAATGCTTGCGTTCTGGAACCCAGCACTTCACGGTTTTAAGACTCTGAAACGTGTTGGTTTTGTAAATATATTTAAATAATACTCTAATATTGTATTGTTGTTATGTTTAGAAGTAAAATTACAAATCTGTAGCTCAATTGTAAGATCTATAGCGCAATAGAAAGAGTTCTGGAAATGGAATTGCTGAACTTTAACCTAAAAATGATAAAGTTAAATCGATATATTCCCGAGAAGCTACGCTAAAGATACTGCCTAAACTATTTGAGATGGTACAAAGCATATACCACACCAATACATTTTCTTTACACGTACATCAGACACGTTAAAGGCACACAAAACCCGAAAATCCAAAAATGCATGAAATAAAATTTACAATATCGATACTTTGGGTACATCGTAGCTTTCAAACATCCTTAGATGAAATAAATCTGTCAGACTGTCAGAGCTGCTGTAACCTTTGGTGTCAGCCATATTTTTCCCACTTTTATAGTTTAAAATTCTTGCATAAAGAAACATATATAGTAAGTATCTTAATTTTATTTCCCTTCAAGAGTTATTATCAGTATTAATTAGGCACTCCTAAATATTTAGCGGCATTAATCGCAAGGAACGTTAAATTTAGAATTACATGAGATGATGACATAACTTTAACTGCTAATTTTTCTGCAGGAAAGCATGGCCGGAGACAAAGTCAGCACTTATGTGAAGCCACAGCTGCGAGGCCTTCTTGCAAGTCAAATTAAAGTCAACCTGGGAGTTGCCGTTGTTCTGTGCACAGCTGCAGCAGTCGCAACCAAGATATTGGTGAATGATAGGAGGAAGGAAATCTACGCCAACTTTTATAAGTAAGTTTTTCCACCCATCGTAGGACCAAGGCCACCAAGACGTTTTTTGATCCCATCGTATGTATCAGATGTACCACGATATATGGATAATTTGTACAGAAAGTTGGCACAAGCTGTTCGGTTTAGGTATCAAAATTTGCAGATTACAGAATTAATACCGAATGATCAAAAAATGATAGAGGATCTGCGGAGTTAGACCGACAAACGAAGACAGCCAAGTCTATACATTTTCAAGTTCGAATTGGCGTTGGCGTTAATTCTAATCAACATGACAGAAGTCTAAATCCAACTGGCATTAATCAAGAGTATATTGACATTATTCCACTTCAAATTCCCTATCTGTCAATTTTAAGATGCCATTAAGTAAAATGCAGAGACAATTTATTGAATGTTAAAGCTCGTTCACATTTTAGGGGTGGTTCATGCCCTGTCCAGAGGATGATGCCAATCACCGCTAGTATCTAACAGAAAAATTTTCCCCGATACATTAAAGTTGACATGTCCGAGTAAATCTTGTATCAACCCAGAAAATATTTCCTTCTATTTGGTGCACCCTGTTTAATGTCACTTCTCGAGTCTATTTGGTAGCCTAGAAAAAAAGTAAATAAAGCTAAATAAACTGTCTGTTTTAGGAACTATAATATTGACAAGGAATTTGAAACCATGAGGAAGAAGGGATTGTTTGACTCCTGCTGAACACTTAAGCGATTCCAATAGAAATATGTAGATCTTACTCTTCAACACTAGAAATCTCATGTAATCGAATATCAACCTTCTGGTAGATGAACAGCAATGGTTTTGTGTTAAAATTAAATTATTCCAATGTAAATATGTTTTTTTATTTATATTATGGATGGAATCGTAATTAATCCGATATAAGATCGTCTTAAACGCGTCAGGCAAACTGCCAAAAAACGAAAAGTTAGAGAAACCCACAGACTTCAGAATCTCAAAGGTCTCAAAATAGGTTGAGACCTGAGAAGAGTTCTATCGGCTGACAGAACGGCACAAAGCTCGTGGGTTATAGAGATACCATCTCCGGCAAATTCTATCATAGCGGGGTGCAGAGCTGCGCAAGTATTTAGGAATTAAATTATTTAAGATTAAGATAAAAAAATTTAAGAATGGTATTTCTAATTGAACCGTCAATTACTTTCTATAAATAATTCGTAATTAGTATTTGAAAATTTAGTGTAAATACTTTCATAAATGCCCCCGCATCCACGCAATAATGGATCCCACTTTGTGAAGGCTTTTAAAGATTTTGGAGTGTTGGCGATAATCAGCTTGAGGTAGATGCAGACGCGCCATCTGCGGATTTTGATAGTGAAATGGATTATCCTGAAGATTATTTTTCGCACACTGGAATGGAGAGCTGGGGAAAAAAATTGAAGAATCCCAAATTCATTTGCCTAAACATCATCGTTGCGTAACGCATTCGTGTAATCTTATAGTAACAACAGACTTTATGAAACTCATAAACCAAACTCAATCACTCAGATCAAAGCCCGCTCTTGTTCTTAATAAATGTTCCCAACTTTGGAATAAAGTAGGACGACCAAAATCAGCTGAAATAATAAAAGATGTTCTGGGTCACTATTTAAGCTACCCAGCGGCAACCTGATGGAATTCTCAGTATAATTCGGCAAAAAAAATTTTGAAAGTGAAAGACAAAATTACAATTCTCCATGACAAATTAGGACTAACGTCTTAAAAGAGACTGAGTTTGTTTATTTAACGGAATATCTAAACATTTTGGAGTCAATTGCGTTAGCAATTGATATATTACAAGGTGAAAAAAACAATTACTTTGGATTAGTTATTCCTACGATTGCCAGCATGAAATCAAAATTGATCAAATTAAAAACTGAAAAATTCAGAGATGATTTTTTGGTTTTACATCCTGATACGCCAGATGCAATTATTGTCTCCCCCCCCCCCAGTATCCCAGATTTAAACTAAAATGGGTAAATTTAATATGGAATGTGGAAGGAAAAATACAAATGCCAAAAAATGATGTAAAAAAAAATTGTAAAGGCTATGAGACAGCTGAAAGTCTAAAAACGCCTCTTCCAGAACTGGATAAGAGTTCTTCATTCAACATGGACTTCTTTGAGTTTGATGACAAAGAATTGGGTACATCAGCGAATGATTATGATCATAGAACAAGGCTTATTATTGATTATGATTCAAATGGGCTCAGTGAATTGCCAGCGTTGCAAGATCCCCGTTTTGAGCTGGAAATGTTGGACAAATATCCTCTAGTGAAAGTGTTATTTTTAAGGTATAATACCACTTTACCTTCCTCACCACCAGTTGAGAATTTTTTTTCTTATGCCACGTTTATAAATGCTCCTCGCCGCCATGCACTATCAGACAAAAACTTTGAAAACCTAGTGCTATTAAAAGCTAATAGTAATTAGTATTAAATAATACATTTAAACCTTTTTTTTTTGTTTTTGTCTTATTGTTATTCTATTTCATATCACTCGAATCTATGATATGTGTTCTGTTTTTTTGAAAATATTATTATGTATTGTTTCTGAATGTTATTAAATGTTTATAAAAATATGTATTTTTTATAGTTTGGTAAATATCGTGAATATATGATTTATCAGTGTTGTTGGTGTACTATAATATGACAGTTGAGACATTAAATACTAGTTACTAAGTAACTAGCTAACCCAAACTAAGTTTGTGTTCTTAAATACTTTTTTGTATTTAAATACTTTACTAAAAGTATTTGTCAACTAAGTACCGGCATATTCTAATTAATAATTAGTAGTTAATTGCTTTTTTTAATGTTAACAGTATTTGGTAATTGTATTTAAATACTCTTTAAAAGTAATTTGCCCAGCTCTGGCGGGGTGCAAGGCTCTCCATAGAGTAAGTAAAATAAATTACCTAATCTTATTTTACTTTCTCTATGGCTCTCTCTTCAGACAAGTTATAGCAAGCATTTCGTCCTTGCACGTTTTTTTTTGAGGGATTTTGTCCCAAACAATGCGTGATCACAAACCGACACTTCCTGCACAAGCAGGTTTAGTCGTTTCTAGCAGGCTGGAAACGCACAAATCCAACTATATGACCGGTCGGATTAATGCTCGTTATAGCCATAGATAAAGACAAGTATGATCCCTTGCTCTGGTTAATGCTGGCTGGTCCTTGCATCAATGACCAATGGGAGCAGGGGGCGTGGCCTAGGCCATATATGGATTAAAACTTCCGGCGGTTTATGCCTGGCATTTATCCATTGTTGCTGGAATTACCAATATATTCGTGATTTTGGCGGGATCGGAAAATTTTCATGTTGGATGTTACGCGGGATCATGACACTGCGCAGATAATGGACAACAACAACCGATCAAAAATCTGGCTAGATATAGCCATCTTTTAAACGTTATAACTTTGTGCTTATACAATGTGAATGTTTAGTAAATTTTTATTTATCCTGATTGTGTATCACGCATATATCTGCCATCTTAAGTATTGACGGCGACATCTTTGGATGGTTTAGTTGATCATTCCTGGGGCGACTTGTAAAGATATTGATACATTTTATATTATGCTCACAACATTTATGATATTTAATTGGAAGGAAGGAAGAATGGTTTGGACATTTTCCTATTTTAGCATTTAAATCTAAAATTCAGAGAAACCATTTTAGTTGCCGCAAATCACACAAGCAGTTTGTGTGTATTCTTCCGTGCAAATTAACAACGTAAATTTTGCCATCACATTCGAACCGTTTCCAAAGGGAACATCTGATATGTTTTACCCTTTAATTTGATTTTTGTCCATTCTTTATTCATAAAAATTAGCGGACTGTCAGCTGATTTCTTGGGGACTTTTGGTTCTGTGTTACCTGCTTGGTGACTTTCACTGTCACCAACGTCAAAGGTTTTCGTAATGGCTGTTTCGGTGCGCATACGGGTCCGCGCATGTCCTATGGCGTCGAGTTGTTATTGTTGAGAGCGTTTAATTATTTTTAACAATATTATGTGCGTTTGTACAGACTTTTTACCGGAAAATATAATAAGTAGTGAGTGTTACGTTTAGTTAGTTCAGTGCTCCGAATAAAATTCTCTGTGGAAAAGCAGTTACGGAGTCAAAAGTATGTCACTAAAAATGGGGTATATAATGTTTCTTAGCCGTAAGCAAATTGATTTGGCTCAGATATTTTGGCTTATTTGTGAAGGGCCTCATGTGGAAATGGATTGTATGTGTAGAAAATAGGGAAAATCGTCGGAATTGATCAAGTTTCTGTGGTTTCTCAAAGTGCAATTGGTTTATTTTTCGATTTGAACACATGGAATAACACTCCCCCGTCAGGTTTACAAAATGGCTGCGATCAGATCGAGATTTTTATTTCGCAAAATTTGAAAGAAATTTTACCCGTTTTCGAGCATTTAAGGGCAATAATGGATTGGATTGCATGATTGGATGCTGAAATTGTTATTTTGCTTTCGACATCTTGTGACTGAATGCTAATATTGCAAATACCTATGACCCAAGCTCATTGGAAATCCACTGGAGTAAGTGGCGGAAGTGCCAAAATTTTTCCTTTTACTTAATTGAAATTTGATTTTTGCGGGTTTTTGTGAATTTGTGACACTGCATTTTCACGTGTTAGCGCAAACTTTCGATATAGCTCTGGCTCAAGCCCACAACCACAAGTGAACACTTTAAGGCAGACCTTGAAGGCTCCCTAATTAATTTTCTTGCTTCATTTCCATTTGTTTCTACCGAAAGTGTCGTTTACCAACGTTTGCACACATTTAGTTAATCGAAAAAACGATTAATGCACATCATAGAGTTAACTCTATGATGTGCATTAATCGTTTTTTCGGAAAAGGTTTGAAAACATCGGCTCAGCTATCATCAGTTAATGGGAGCAATATCTGCATGTTTTTATAAAGGTACCTATTCTAATATGAAGTTGGACACAAAACCCTTATTTACATTTACGATATGCAACAACACATTTTTAAAAGAGCCAAATAGGTATTTAGTTAATCAACTACCTTTTGACCTAAAGTACCTAGTATATAAATTGCATTGTGCAATTTAAATATGTGTCATGTGAATCCTGACAACTTCCTGAATCCATAACTTACAATATATAGGTATCAAACTTAGGTATATGAAAAGCTCAGTCAGTCTGAAAAGTAGCTCAACTAATTATTTAAATTATGCCATTATAATACTGAACATTTTAGAAGAAAAATAGGTCTTAAAAATGCTAATGTTGTTTTTATGAATGCAGGTACTTTATTTTAAAGCAACAAATTTAATTGAACTAAAAACACTTTATATTTAGAATGACATTAAATAGTATCGCTAACCCGGAAACAGTGTAGGTAATACCTAATAGTTATAAAATGTGGACATGACAATTTTTCCTGAAATGCATTTAAAACAATTTTTTCCATACTCTCATTTTCAGGCAGTGTTTCTCACACGATAAGGTATCTGAAAATTGCCAGCACATACCTCTGTCTAATGGCAATTTTTCTTAAAAGATTATTTTTATACCCTTCAAACAAACTTGTTGAAGAAAGCCCAGTTTAAATGTTATTAAATGCAGTCAAGTAAAAAAATATATTCAAATATATTTTATTTTATAGGACTTTTTCGTTTACGTTCTACGTCTTCTCTTTGCTACTACAATTTGTAAATCGAATAGGACCTAGTAAATTTATGTGAAACTTGCCACAATTATACAGTATGATGCCACCGTGTAAAGATATGAAAATAATTAATTTCAACAATAAAGTAACTTAGTTCGAAAAAACCCCAGACACGTCAAATTTCACTTTCAGCTCCGGTTTCTGTGATTGTCAAATCGAAACACATGTACTAAATTAGTTATTGATATTATTTTTTCCGGCGTTTGTAGGTAGGTTGTTGATATGTCCAATCGTAAATTTCCTGATAACTGTTAAGTTTATATGTAGGACATGATGAGGGAAACATATTTACTCTATGATGAAATTCATAAAATAAAACCAAGTGTTTTCATTTGAAAATATTAAGTTAATGGTCGTAAATTTGGAACACCTTGTATACTTACATACACTCTCCATCAAACAAATCGCAGCCTAAATAAATCTTGATGCTCGAGAATTTAATGAAAAATCTAACCACTGAATTTGCAATGAATGGATTCACTATAATGTATACGGGTTGTTCCAATTGTTAGTATCAGAGCCTGAAGTATGGTTAGAACACGAATTTTAAGATGTTTTTTTTATATAGCTCCGTTTTCTTTTCCTTTTTGATATACAGAGAGTTGAAACAAAAAAATAAAACGTGTTTTAATTTTTTAACATCTGAACGGTGAAAGCAATTCTAATTAAATTTAACACATATAGTACATTAAAAGTCACTTATGGAGAATATTAAAATTGTGTATCCATAAAGTAATACTTCGTCAAAATCCAGCAGTTTAGACGCAATATAGAAGGCCTTCAAATAAAGATATTGACATTGTTAGCCAAGTACTTAACGTCAACATGAAAATTTTATTCTACGTACGTTGGTAGTTAATCTCGATATAGGTAAAAAGTAAACACTTAGTACTTAGGTTTGTTCATTTCAACCAAAGGTCTGAACAACGTACCTACTTATAAAATTTTAACAGTTTTTAAAATGATTTAATATATTTAGGCAGTATTAAGTAATATACATAAAATAAGGGCACATTTAAGTCATGCAATGCACTTTTTGTAATAGTTAGCTTGATCGGAAAACGCTCAAATTTCTTATCGAGCTGCTTTTCAAACATTTTAAGGATGGACCAGAATATAAAATGTGACCCGCAGGAGAATTGCCCAGCTTAGGAACACCTAAGAATCTACAAAAACTATCTAATTACATATTTCAAATGAAGTAATTCGAATTATTCTTTTATGGAAAGATTTGAATGAAGTAATTCGAATAATGATTTTTTTTTATTGTTCTCTCGTCTTTAAATATAATTTGTTTTGATTGATTGAATTAATTATGTCAATCCATCAAAACAACTCGGTTTAAACACCAAAGAGAATAGTAGAACTTCAAAGAGATACTTAAGTACTAATATTAGAAATAAAACTGCTACTGAATATAACCCTACATTCATGTCTTACGGGAATCCAACCACTAGACTTTTCATTAGTGGTCCGTCAAAATATGTAATTTTAATTGGATTCTGCTGTTGATGGTTGATTAATTTTTTTTATAGGGTACATACCGATATTAAATGCAAATTACAACTTGCGTTTACGAATCATTCCAACATACAGCTTGAACTGAAAACACAATTTTACTCAAATTTTCTATTTGTTTCGAATTAAAAAGTCGCAATCTGTATTTGTCAATTGAATTCAATCGAAAAGTCAGGTAGCATAGAACCCTTTATGTCCTGCAGTATCTGTAGAAATTCACAAAAAGGCACTCATTTCAGGAGAACTTTTTTACTTTACTGTAGTCTTGCACATGAAAACTCTACATGTTTCTCAAACTAGAGATTGTTCTTTTATTAATTATTATTAAATAATTCTCTCTGTTCTCTAATGTTGCTGCCAAGCGGCACCATTATCTAATTACTACTTGTTTTGTAAAAAAACTAAAATTTTCAAAACAAAATTTCACAACATCAAACAACACAGCGAAATACCGATTTTTCCAGGAAATTTTTTTTTAATTTTTTTATTATTATAGCAATCTAGTACAGTATACTAATAAGCCATTTGTCTTTAACTTAATCTACTACTTTAAAAAACACAAAGCACACACATCCTCCGATAGTCACTCTGTGCGCAATATTATAGTACATCGGTTTGACATGTACTCTCTCACAAATTCTTGCTTTCTAAACCAGTTCGAATGGTTTAGTTCTTTTGAGTCTTCTCTGTATTTCCGCATTATCCAGGAGCTTGAGTGCCTCAGGATTCACATGCTGATGGAGTCGCTGTTCGTGATTCTGTGCATACTTTTTGATGACGTTATCTACTGTTTCTACACCCAAGTCTTTATGTAGATTTTCATTTCTTATGTACCATGGTGCATCAACGATACT